CCACAAATATTGAAGTCGTAATATCACTAGAAAAACGTTTAAAGCACATAAAATCATATTAAAATATATACGAGTGTATGTTCTGTATTTACAGTACACGCATTCGTAAATTTAGAATACTTTTTTCTGTACTATATTAAAAACTAAAATTTATTTGTTTGTAAGCTTAAAATAGAGTTTTATTAACCATATATTATTAAAAATGCATTAATAAATAAAATACAGAACAGGGAATAATAATTTATGGTTTAGCCTAGTGACAAGTAGATTCGGAGACAAGTAAATTCGACTTACGTCGTTTTCTTGGAACCAATTAACGACGTAAGGCGAGGTATACCTGTATCTGTATTTTAATGTTTGATGAACAGTCATTTATATTTCTAGTTGTGTAATGTTTCGTAATCAATTAATCATATCAATTATATCTGTCAACTGATGTAGATGCAAATTACATATTTCTTAAAATATATCCCAATAGAATTTTGTGTACTTTAGAACTTCTGGTTAGAATATTCATTAGTTATTAAAAAATTTGTGAAAAATAGTTAAAAATATCAACTAAAGTTTATAGAATAGATTTGTATAACAAATCCAGTTCCATTTCATTCAACAGGAAAGATGTAACATAAATTTAAATTATTGAAATGAAATTTTATGCATACATAATCCTCAAGCTACCATTTCAGTTGAATAAAAAACGTTTTCTTATTAGAATGTTATATTTATAAATTTCTGTTTGATATAAAATAACTATTGAATGAATAATTTTACAGTAGAGCCTCGATTATCTGACTCCCGATCAATCGACCCCTCGGTTAACCGACCGTCCTAGTCGGCAAATTTCAAATGTCCGCTATTGATGTGGCGCTACAATATTTGGCTATGTCTTGGCTACTTTAATATTATTTTTACATGTTTTAGCTGGCAACACTCATTCGACCATGAAAGGGAGCCAGTATTTAAACGAGGCTTAATTTTCTAATTTTTAACGATTCAATAGCGACGATTATTATTTTAAAAAATTTTTGTTAGGCTTAACATCGATGAAAGTTTTAACGCGAAGTAGGTTAATAGTGATATACTAATATACTAATTACATGGGATATAATAATATACTACACTAATAATGGATTTTTTCATACTTTTCAGTTATCCGACTTTTCAATTATCCGACCAATCCCAGTCCCCAATTAGGTCGGATAATCGAGGCTCTACTGTATTTACTTTTGAATACTTTTGATAATTAACAATAAATTGAGATTTGATGTAGATTGATGATAATTTTATTAAATCTGAATAATTGAGTAATTAGATTAATTATATTGATAATTGTCATTAACTTATATGTAATAATGAAAACAGTAATGCAAATAACAATAAAAAAAGTACTGAATGACAAGAAGGCAGCATCAAAAAATGATTGATGGACTAGAAATTAAACATAGGATCTTATTAAAAATGAAAATAATTAAATAAGAAACCAAATAAACTAGATTAATAACAGTTCAAATAATTCAAAGCAAAGATTTTGTAATTTCTGTTATTTTTTTATTTCTTGTTAATTTTTACATACACATTAAATATTTATCTTCATTTTTTCCTATGCTTACATTCTATGGTTTTGTGCTATAAATAATTTGTTATAGGACCTAAAGATGACTGAAAAAAGTTTGCTTGTTATAAAAAACAAATTACTTCTGAATTACAAAAGTTTTGTTATGAATTATTTATTAGTCTCACTGAAAGAAATTATGTAAATGTTTCGACAGTGAAAGCAAATTAATTTATTTTCAGTCTTTAGATTTAGATCACATAGCTTCAGTATAATTTCTAAAAGTGTTTAAAAATTGATGATAAATTAATCCATAAACATTAAATACTTAAATTAAGTTTTATAAATTAAATATTTAGAAAAAATATTAAATTAATAGAATTTTTTTTGTAAATAGTTTTTAAATTATTATGATTAAAATTTAATATTAAATGACACGCTAAACAGCATTAAAAAATTATCGATGTGCTGGAGCTCAAACATAGGATCTCATCCAAAATTAAAAGAATTAATATAATCTCAAATAAAAATACAAATAATCTAGATAAATAACAGTTTAAATAATTCAAAATAAAACTTTTGTAATTCTTGTTATTTTTGTTTGTTGTTAATATTAAACATATATGAAAAAGTTTTCTCTGCTGTACCCTATGCTTATATTCTCCAATTTTGTGGCTTTTAAATTGCAAAATTTTATTAGTTATGTTATTAGACAACAAAATTTTATGAATTTGTTATTAATGGATAATTTTAACAACTAAAAGACAGTATACATTTTTATTGGTTTATGCTACCATATGACCAAGTAATATTATTTAAGTAATTATAGAAAAAAATCATTCTAGCATAGAATGTGGCTAGAATTTAAAATACAAATATTAATCATTATAGTATATAGAATTTTTATGAATTGTATAAACACAAACTTGAATGAAATTTTGAGAATAAACAATTTTTTTGTTTGATTACAAGATTAAGAAATAAAATCACAATAAAAATAATTAATTTTATAAATGTAGATTTTTTGCATAATTTTAAATTATATATACAGGACCACAAAACTCCATATCAATATTTTAAGTAATTATTAAATCTCTATAGTGGAATGTAGTAATATTTTAAGTGTACAGTAAAAACAAGTTTAAAATTGTCTATAAATGTTTTTATAATTCTGCTTAGTTTTTGAAATTTGACCTGCCAAAAAATCATATCAGAAACTAGTTTTAAACCTCTTGTCAAAAGGATATTGCTGTTTGTTTCTTTACATATGTGTTACCAACATTTACAAACTGAAGTTTATTTTAATTGTTGAAAATTGTATTTTTGAATAAATGGAAATTGAATTATTAAAAATATCCTTGTTCTTATCAATTATTCTGTTCAGTTTTGTAAAAAAGATGAAATGTTATTCAAAGTAAATTTACATTGAAAAACTTTCACTTTCCAATTATTTCTCTGTTGTAAAGTGGCTGGATTTATTGTATTTTTACTAAAAAATTTTAAAACATAAGACTTTGTTTAGATTTATTATGGTAAGGCCTACTTGGGCAACATTTAATTACCCCAATCCATTTAACAGAAACATTAAAAAATACACAATTACGTTAAAAAGTTGACAACCTTAGTGTTAGTATTTGACAGAAAATTTAAAAAGTCCCTTTTTTTGTCAGGCCAGATCTTGAAAATGAAGTAGATTTTTAAAAACGTTTATAAAGGATTTGAAGCTTATTTTTGATTTTAAAATTTATTTCTAAATTATTGGAGTTTTGTTACATTCTGTATATTATAAAATTAATATAAATCAAATTAATTTCTTTTTGTTGATTGGTATCTACGATTGTTATTGAGAATTATAATATTAAATCATATTTGTATTTAGTAGATAATGCTTGTTTTTTAATCTTATAAAATAGCATAATGATTTATCCAAATAATATAATTTTTCGTAATTTTTAAAACATTCATATTTTTAATTTGTACGTTATTTTAAGATTAAGATTTGTCTTTTATTATTTTTTTCAGAATAATTAATGAAATAGAAAATATGTTAAATGAAGATGTAAAAGTAAATAAATTAATTGGAGATAATGGAGCAAATCATATATTGAAGTATTGCTGTAGTGATCCATTATTTATTTTGACTCATTGTAATACAGGAAGTTTAGCTACTGCAGGTTATGGTACAGCTTTAGGTAAATATAAAAATTGTGCATAGTGATGTTACATTGTATGTCACAAAAATACATAAATTTTAATACTAATAATTTTCATTTAAATTTGACTCTGTCTGTAATTTTTAAATTAACTAAATAAAATTATTTGTTCTGTTATGAAACATTACTATTCTACAATAATAAACAACAATCCCATCACTATCTATATGTGTAAAGTTGAATTTATATCTATCTGTTGTCTGTCTTTCTGTTCTAGTATCATGAAACATTCAGAATATTCCTAGGAATTATATAGGCTACTTTTCATTTCAAAAAGCATTCAATTTATAAGCTTTGATAGAATTATGATATTGTTTGCAAGAGTAATAGTTTATATCTGGTTCTTATCATATCTTCCATATGAATAGGAAGTTTTACACAGAGGCAGTGGGTATAAAGTGAACCATGAAATTTAAATAGTAAATAAGCTAATGTGATTATTAATGGGCAAAAGTGACACCAGTGAAAGCTGACCTGTTATTTTAGCAAAATGTATGCAGTACTGAATGTTATTTTTATCTGAGTCAGATTGTCAACAAGTCCCTAGAATTTCTTTCAATTTAAAATTATTAATTAATTAATGGTCTGATCTATTATAGTAGGACCTCACAAAATGCATATAATATATTTCAAGATCCTCTCATATAAGCAGGAAGTCACATAAAGTAGCAAATCCTATTATTATTTTCTGTAGTAACATGCCTGTCACACATTTTTTTAAAATAAAAATAAGGTAAATAAACACTACATTAATAATAATTAGTATAATGCTGTAAATCATAAAAACAACTTCAAAACATTTTTGGAAACAGACTTTTTTTTTCACAAAATCTAAACTTTCAATTTTTCCTCTAGAATCAGGCACTTTACAGCTTTTTGTCTGGCTTATCAGAGCTATCAGCATCACTGTCCATGTGTTTTGGAGTCATGCTTGCAAAGTAATTAGCATAAATGAAACTAAGAGACCCACTAATATCACATGAATATGATATGTTGTTATAGACTGCCAATCCGAATTCCGATGGCGATAGGTTGTGCTTCTCTGAGCTCCATTGAGTTTTTCTTCAATTGTGCCAGAAATTATGGATTTTGGACAATTTTGTGGATACCGTTTTGTTCAGCTCCAGGTAGTGGTTTGTTTGGTCTATTATTTATGGTTATATCTTAATTAGGGGGAGGTAATTAATTTTTAATTTTTTATATTTTGATCGGGCCTAGCAGGTGGGGGATTAATTTCTCGGAGATGACACCAGGGAGATTTATGTATTAGGATGTAGTCTATCAGCACTGTAAAGGGGGGTAGAAATTGATTAGTTATTGAGTTATTTCAGTTTTTAGTTTTTAGCATTACAGTAGAGCGTCGATTATCCGAATCAATTGGGGACAGGTTGTTCGGAAAATTGATTTTTCGGATAACCGATTATGTACGAAAAATACATTATTAATATAGGTATATTAGTATATCCCAATAATAGTATAATAATATATCCCATGTTTAAATTTTTCTCCATTGCGCGTCACTTTGCGTTGAATTTTCATTGATATTAAGCCTAACAAAAATTTTTATAATAATAATCATGGCTATTGTATTGTTAAAAATTATTTCTTAATTTTGTACAAACAAAATAAATATATTGAAAAATATAAAAACAAAAAAATTATACTCTAGAAGTTAAGTTAATCTAGTATCAAAAATGCTCGATTCAGCATGACACAGTCCAATTGGAACGCTTTTGGTTAACTGACATTTCGGTTGATCAACATTCAGATAATTGACATCTACTGTAGATGTAATGGAAATTTTCAAATTTTATAACCCTTGTAACAGTCTCTAACGGTTCTAACGGGCTTTTATGGTCACTGTAATAATTGCTTTCATGGTCGCTTGTTGGTTCTAATGGCTTTTTAACATTTTTGTATTTTTCATTGTTGCACAGCTGCTTTTTACTTTTCATTGTTAGGCAGGTCTATTGTTGTAACAAACTTTTTTTTTTCTAATTTTATTATTATTTTTGTCTTTTTTTAGTTAAATTAACATATTTTAGTCTAGGTTTTGCTTTGTAATATTAATTTAGCCTATATTTTACCTTTGCTAATATTACTACTATGTAGTATTTTAATTAATTTATTTATTTTGTTCTACTTTATAATGGTTTTGTGTGTTCTTCTTGGACTTACGGTTAGGTATTTTAATTTCTTTGGTAGCATATTTATTTTAGTTGGTAATTCTTGTTAGCTTTAGTGAGGCATTTTCCGTTAGCTAAGATGGCTTGTGATGAGGGGACTGCGCAGGTTGATCTCAGGCTCGCCACCTTTGCTATCCTAGGTGAACTGAAAGAGTACCTGCAGGCAATGCCAATGTGAAAATTGGTACCAGATGGCATCTGGAATTTATTATAGTGTTGAAAGAATAATCAAACTGTATGAAAATATGGCTGTCCTCTGTCTCGATGAAATGACAGAGAAGATTGAAAGAACATTATCAGGGGACCACAATCAAAAGCTAATTGATAAGCAAAATGAGGTTCTTTCAAAAGTGGAAGATATGGGGGGATTGTGGGAATTAACAACAAAGTCAAGAAAATCTTAGCCAAATATGTCAGTTAAGACAATGCAGAGAAACAGAAGGCCATTCTAGAAAAAATTGATCAATTAGATCAGAATAAAAGTCCTGTTATTTTCCAACACCTTTCCTATAGTAGTGTTCTTCAGTCTGGGAAGACAGTCACCAGTATTAAGACACCGAACAGCGATTGCACCTGTAGGCTTGTGCAACAGAGCATTCGGCTGTCTGATATGAAAATTGGAATAGAAAGAATTAGAAAAATTAGTGGAGAAGGAGTAGCAATAGAAATTGAAAAGAAGGAGGATCTAATTTCTTTCCAAAAATGCATTGAAAGAAAACTACTGGATATACTGACAAAAATCTCAAAGAAAAGAAGGCCTCACGTTATCATTTACTTGGTCCCAAGAGAGGAGAAGCACAACAACATAATGAAAAACATTATAGTACAAATTATACTCGCATATACAGTAGAGCGTCATTTATCCAAATCGATTGGGGTTGTTCGGATAACTGATTATGTACAAAAAAATATATTAACCTATCCCATGTTGAAATTTTTCTCTGTTACATGTCGCTTTGCGTTGAATTTTCGTTGATGTTAAGCCTAACATAAACTTTTTAAAATAATAATCATGGCTATTGTATCGTTAAAAATTATTTTTTTTATTTTTTACAAACAAAATAAATATATTGAAAAATATAAAAACAAAAAA